AATGTAAAATATATATATATATATATATATATATATATATATATATATATATATATATAATATCTTTGTCTTTAATATATATAAATTACGCGTGTCACGTTGTTTGTCCGCAATGGACTCCTAAACTACTGAACCAATTTTAATCAAATTTTTCACACTGTGTGCAATTTCATTCAACTTGAAAGATAGGATAGTTTATATCTCAATTTTATTGTGAATTATTTGTTTATTAACAAACGAGTCATGATTATGTCTGTTAGTTCGATAAGATTCTAAACAGATGGCGGTATAAGGTAATTCGTTGACTGGATTGAGTAAGTTATGAGAGAATGAAGAGAAAACCAGATGATTAAAAGAATTTACGAAAAAATTTGAAGAAAATCGTATTTAAAACAAATAAAAACAAAACGAAACAATAATTTTGTTTATATGTATAATATGAAAGTGGTTTAAGGTTTGAAACGAATCATTTATCGGTACGATAATAATACGAAGGTAATGAAAGGAAAGTAAACAAGAATTTTATCGGGTTAAATAGAACTCATCCGAGATAGAAAATTTCATTAGATGATATATACGATAAAATGCTTTTTCTAAAACCGAGTAGTAATTAGTAGCTATATTTATTACATCGATGGCATATACGTTTACGTAAACAATAGGGAAGAGCAAGTGGTATGAACAAACTAGTGTGATGTCTATTATTATTATCATATACGTATCTTCTTTTTTTTTTTCAAGGTTATTTTTAATTTTTTAACATTTTTTCTAATTTGTCGAAGTGTAGTATTTTTTTTTTTTCTATACAAGACAATAATTATAATAATTGCAACGATAACAATTAAATGTATATGTATATAAATTCATTTAATTTACTTAAAAATAATGTAATTTATTGTTACTTTACAAATTCGTGAAATAATTAGTTAAAATTTGTAGCAATAATTATACTAACCTATTTTTTATTATGAACAAAAAACCAGAATTACATATTTCATTAGGTAATATATGAATTCGTAAGAAACGAGTAGCTATTATAATGATATAAAATATATCATTAAATAATATAAAATATATAATAAAAATAAATAAATAAATAATAATTATAATAATAATAAATAATATAAAATAACACATGAAATAATATAAAATCGAAATTTGATTTGTAAGTTAAATTCGATATAATCACCATGACTAATGGAACATTGATTTTTAATATAGAATTTAGTATATAATCCGATTCTTATTTATTATACTTTTTCAAAAACACCTATATATACTTATTTCGAATAAAAAATCTAAGATTCCAATGATTAAAATAAATTATTCAAATTAACAATGTAACATATATATATATATATAAATTATATTTTACCATAAAATAGGAGAATATCATTAAACAACATTGTTCCAATATATTATAAATAGATTACCATATAATATATGTACAAAATCTAACTTCCGTAAGTATGTAAAAATAAACATACATACATACATACATATATTAATACGTTTATAAGTGTTGGAAGAGAAGCGTGGTTGTAATCGTAAAAAAGCTCCCATCGTGGTTTAATATTCGTCCATCAAACGTGAAGGCCGTGATCAGTTCTTTCGAGGACACGTGAGTTCGTAACGTGTCTTGCACTTTAATAAATACTCTCGCTTTATCCCTCTTATGCACATATAAACACACACACACACACGCAACCTATGTATATACGTTTGTTTGTGTTTATTTACATGCTTTCTTTCTTTCTTTCTTTCTTTCTTCTTTGTTTATATACATATGTAGAGATACAAACATTCCCTCTCATGCATACACACACGTATACACACACAGATAGACATATGTATTCATTTGTTTGTTTGTGTTTGTTGCTTTCTTTCTTTCTTTCTTTCTTTAAGAGAGATATGAATATGTTGAAGAGGAATAAATTAAAGATTTATCCTTTACCTTTGATTTCAGCACTTTCCACGGATGATGTGAGAGATGACGGGACTCAAGGCCACGAAAATGAGACCGGTGAGTGAGTAGTACAATTTTAACCCGTTTATCGGCTCATTTCTCTAGCGAAAGCGTCATCCATCCATTCAAATAACAACATAAATCTACTATTGCATTTGTATGTATTAGATCTATGTATAACTATATACATCTCGTTGTATATGTATGTGTATGTAAGTGTGTGCGCTCGTGTATGGAATCAGGGAGAGAGCAAGAAGCATCTTTTATTTTCATTGATTTTCTCTTTTTCCATGGTATAGTTATTATTATGATCAAATCATTATCTAGATAAAATATTGTATTATCTCGATTTATATATTTATTATAGATATATAATATATATTATATTATATATTAATATTAATATTATAATAATATTATATATTATATTATTAATATATTATATATAATATAAAGTAATATTAATTTGTATTATTTATTATATACTATATTAATATTATATATATATTAATATTAATAATATTATATATTATATTATAATATTATATTATTATATTTATATTATATTTATATTATTATTTAATATATTATATTTATTTATAGATATATAATATTATTATTATTATTATATATATATGTAATAGATATACGTAATTCGTGCATTTATTATGAATTTTTTTTCTTTCTTTCTTTAAAATCCTACATTTTACGTTTTAACGTTAAACACATTTATATATAGAGAGAATTAAATATACTATATATATATATATATTAATATATAGATTGAAATATAAATGATCTAATTCGTCCTTCGTTCAATTCAATTTAATAATAAACGATTACTGTCGATTATGTAAATTACATGTGATTTTCTATTTCATTTCTCAAACGTTCTTTCTTGTGTTACGCGTGAATTCGCAGAAAAAAGTTTTCTTCCGAGAAAAAAACTTGTTACCGATTAACATCTCCGTTCGGTATTTTTGTTGCAGAAATTACGAGGAAGACGTAAAACAAAAAAAATATATACATATATTATCCACATACATACATATATATATATATATATATATATGCATATGCAAAAAGGAAAATGGAATAAAGAGAGAAAATAGAAAAATATATATTAACACTAGATATACACCACCATTTTTTAGTATACCTATTTCTACCACACTAGTCAAAATGGATTGGGTGTATAAAAAAAAAAAAAAACATAC